AAACTAGAATTATATTTTTAATTTATGTCACCTCCTTCCTTGGTGAAATTGCAGTTCAACATTAATAATTGGTTCTTGGTCATACTTTTTGTACCAGCACCTAATTCCTTTCTTGATGGCTGAGAAACTGTGGATTGCCCAGATTTAGAAATGAAATGATTCAGATCTCTTTCCTTATGCTAACCTCTGAGTAAACACAAAGCTATCTCATCATGCTAATACTCATGGACAGCATAATTGCAGAAACTGAACTGCTCCAACTCTGTGGAGAGCAGAATGATGGTGATAAACTACAGGCTTTGTTTCTTATCTCACCTCATCATTATCCTGCTCTCTTCTGTTAATTTTGCATTCCAGCCACAGACCATTTCAAGCTTTTCATATGTTGTCTGTCTTTGCAGGAGTTCCCAAAATAACCACTAAAAAGTTACATTTCTTTTTTCCTTAACATTATCTATAGGGAATAAAGAAGACCAGGTTTTCTCATGGAATGAGAATAAGCTTTCTCTCCAGGTATATTAAATAACATGACATGAATGCTTTTCCCACTGTTAATATGTTCCAGAATAGATAAGTTGATGTCTTAGATTCAAATGTGAGCAGAGGTGGTGTCAATAAGGAACGTTCAATGCGGTGTAATGAGCCCATATCAACACTGCGGTCTTTCTGTTTAGCCTAAGTCACTTGTTGGAAACCCCTAAAGCAAATCCTGTCTTTCAGAAGATAATTTTCTTATCTCCACAGCTGCTATGCCCTATGATGTGTTCTACTTCATGGCTCTTCATTCAGAATGTTGGGGCTGTGAATCTGTTGTGCGAGTCTCACCGAGTTATGTATTGTGCGTATACTCTGCAATGAGGCCAACCTATACAGAGCCCTACCAACTGATGCGGCTCACAGCTACACAGTTTTAGTGTCAGGACAACTGATTGCACAATTTAACATGGCAGGTACACTATAAAAGCTTTTACTACTAGATTTGAGACCTAGTTTGGGGAATACTCAAGGAATTATCCCTGTAAGAAAGCGCATGATGGAGTTCCAGTAGCACGATTGCAGCTAACCCGTTTCTGTGGCAGAGGCAGCGGTTGGTTTGCCCACACAGAGTTCTGCAATTAGGTAGTGGTGGTCAGAGCCAACCTTTTTTTCCACAAGCCCTCAGAGGTGATTTATGTGGGTCATGAACACATGCTATCTCTTCATTACTTGTTGCAACGAGGAATTGCATCCAAAGCTATTTTAGGATCCGATTTGCTTACCAACAGCTTAGAAAAGAGGAGGTCATTAGGTATCTGATATAAAACCCTAACACGATCATGAGTACATATTCACTTTCTTCTGGTCCTTTGTCATGCCATATGTAATTCTCTGTCCTCTTTTAGTTACTGTCACTTGTCACTTGCGACAAGCCTTGTATACAAGGGACAAGGCAAATGCCTCCTTTCCCCCCACTAAACAAACACACAAACAAACCTCACCTTGTACGTCCCTTAGTTGAAAATCCCCTTGTACATCCTTTACTTGATGCTCAAAACAAGGGAGCAGGTTTTAACCTTCCAGTGTGCTAGGAATTCTTCCAGCAAAGCAGATATCTAAGTCCCCAAGTTTGCCAAGATCTGAGCCCCTGTGTAATTTCACATTGTTACTCTGAAACTGAAGCTGTTGGCCAGTGGCAGTCCTTGTAAACACTACAAAGTGCTTCTAAGGTGAATGCTAGACATGATTTCATTGCTGGTAGCTTCTATCTTGCTCTAACAGGATACAGAAATACAGCCCTAATGGGACCATCTGTCCTATTCCTGTCCTTGTCTCTGTATCAGGAACATGCTTCTGTACTCTAACATTTAAAGGTTTCTGCCTTACCAACTTTGTCAGTGTGATGCTTGGGCCTACAAGGATGCTGGGGAGGGACTCTTCGTTAGGGACTGTAGTGGTAGGACAAGGGGTAATGGGTTTAAACTGAAACAGGGGAAGTTTAGGTTAGATATAAGGAAGAAGTTCTTCACAGTGAGGGTGCTGAGGCACTGGAATAGGTTGCCCAAGGAAGTTGTGAATGCTCCAACCCTGGGGGTGTTCAAGGCCAGGCTGGACAGAGCCTTGGGTGACATAGTTTAGTGTGTGGTGTCCCTGCTCATGGCAGGGGGGTTGGAACTAGATGATCTTAAGGTCCTTTCCAACCCTAATTATTCTATGATTCTATGCGGTTTATTGCTCTTTCTCCAACGGTAGTCATTTCCAATTGCCATTGCTACTTGATTTCATGCTGCTGAATGCCAGGGAATGGTAGCTACTGTATCTGGCTGATACCCACCACACAGTAAAATTATTTCAGTATCATTACTGAAAGAGAAAAAGAATAGAGGTAGAAGGCAGCAGATCTTGTCTGCATGAACAATAGAGCAATACAAAATAAACAGTTAAAGAGAAGTGACTATATAAAAAGAAATCACTTTTTTCCATCTTCAAAAGGAGCTCAGCTGCTAATTAAATTTTTATGCCAAGACTCATAAGAGAACAATTCTCTTCTTCTTTTAAGCATCACCGATGGGTGACTGGATACGACATTTCACTAGCTTGAAGGCAATTCCCTCTGTACTCTATTAAACAATCATGAGGACATACTGGTTTCTAAGCTGCCTGACACTTAGTGATCTATGTTCCTTCATCCTAACCTAAAGTACAGTCTATTACTATTCATAAGCCAGCACAAGCTTGTTTAAATGAGTAGATGTTATTGGAAATGAACTTAGTCCTTGGCTAAAGAAAACTGGTTCCTAGGCATTTTCTATTATGGCTGAAAATACAAGCTCCATCATACAACATCCCCTTGTAGCAGGTGGGAGCATTGATTTTAGTATTAGCTTTTTAGCCTTACATTTTCTGAATGTTGACATATTCAACAATTTAACAAGCAAGATTTTGAACACTTAAGCCTAATAACATGTATTTAAGACATAAGAGAACTTATTTAACTTCAAGAGCCTTTAACAATGACTTTCAAAGCGACCTAGGGGAAGTGGGAACCCTAATCCAATTAAAAACATCAGTGAGGAACGGGTGCCCAAGTGTCAGAGGTTGCTTTGGCCATTCCAGCATTACTACCTACAACACTACACTAAAAACCTGTTCTTTTCTGAGGACACAAGCACTTCCAAGGTACGTTAACTTCATTTCCATTTAGCAGCAGGTAGCCATGGAAGATAGTGTCTATAGAAGCAGCACACCACAGACTGATCAAGGTAAAAGCTTTGTGATAATATGGACAAATAATGGGGGTTTTTATGAAACCAGTAACTGGTAGTGAATGAATGAAACATTGCATAAATATCCTCATGGAGTCTTTGATCTGTGCTTCCACCATGTGTTTCATTTCCCTGGTCTTAGCATTTTTACTTATTTTTTGCATTATGTTTCAGCACATTTGAACACTATTCTTGAAAGACATTCAGAACACAAATCATGGTAAGAAATGGGTACATAATCAGAATTAGGATTGTATTGGATACAAACCTGCTGTTATTAAATACAATAGTAACTATAATAATTATTAGTTTCATTGATCGATACGTTGAAACTAATCTTTCTTTAGAAGAGTACAGAGACAGTAAGTATGTACTAATCAGAAAATCAGTTCTCAATCGGAATCAGATACTATTTATATTATTTATTATAGTTTCATCTCTACATGTGTTGTTTTGCTCTTAAAGGAATGAAATCTTATGACTTAGCATGTATTTGCAGTGTTGTATTACGATTCCTGTGAGAACTAGGAATATGAGTTTTGTTTAACTTCTCAGATTTAAACAACAATACTTTAGTCTTAGTTTTCTTACATTACAAGGAGACAGGAAACAAAAGAACAAAAAGAGCCCCAAACCTTTAACTCTGACATTCCTAATGTCAAATATCTTTATGTCATATTATTTAAATCTCTGGTCTAATGTGACTGGTGCATTGGTATATTGTGATCACCTTGAAGCAGAAATGTTTGTGTATTGTTTGTTTTTTGCAATTAGAAATGCTTCTTAGGTCTGGATACGTCAAAGAACGCGTCCGTGCTTCAAGGCATTCCTTGGCATATCATCAGTCCTAGTTCTTTGAGAACTGCCTCAGAACAGCCAGACCAACAGATACTTGAGGGAGTATGTCAGGAAAGATGTGGCTGGCTAAAAGAGTCATTGAAACTCAGCTGTCTTCTCTCACTTCTATGCCCAGACATGCATGTTATTTATGTTCACAGTGGTGAAGTACATCGTGGCCATGGATCCTGTATATCTCTTCATAACAAATGTTAAGTCTGGATGGTAGAGCTGTGAACTTTGTTGTTCAGCTCTCCCAGGTGATGTGTGTAGGATGTCATGCCCTGACCTTTGACTTTACTTGGCCACTAAACCCTTTCAAACAGCAGTTAATTTCTTCTAGCTGCTGTCAATATCTTTAAAGACTGAAAATAAAATAGTATACTTTAGGACTGTCAGCTGAAATTTGGAAACAAAGTTACTTGCATTGGCCAGAAATCAACCTTTTTTCTTCTAGTTAAAGAGAAAAATTGTAAAATTAATTTTTAGTAAAGGAGGTGTTTTATTTCCTGGAAATGTTCTCTTTATAAATGTTTTCCTTATTCATGTCTTGCACAAGCCAATGTTTTCTAAACATAAAAATTATTTAAGTTTTCAGCTTGAAAATGCTGCCACAAAATGTTTCGACACTTCTGAAATTCACTTTGCACCTGCTTTGGAGAGCAGGGTCAGACTCTGGTTTTGAAGAAGCCAAGTATAATAGTAAATATTCTCCCTGCAATACCAGACTCCTTAAGTTTCCAGAAGAATCTGGTTGTCCATATAGGTCAGTAAGGGATGCAAAACTATTGGTACAAGTGGCAAGATTGTGTGCTACTTGTATGCTGATTTTGTTGGTTTCATTTAGGGAGAAGAGTGTGGTTGGGCTCTTTGGAGCAGACAGAGTTTTGTACCTTCTGTCTAGTTGGAGTAAGCTTGTTCCGGTAAAGGGGGTCAGTAGTAGTGTGTGCTGGGGATGTGGAAGAATAGCTAATGCAGAGATTATAAGAAAGTGAAGAAGAGCTAGAGGACAGTGAAGGACTCCATGGAAAAAGGAGTATGGTTTAAATGAATAGAGGTAATTTATGGAATCCTAAAAAGCTTTTGAAACTTCTTACTATAGTCAAAGATCACAATTCCTTCTTCTTTCAGTGCTGGACAACATACCCACACAAATAATTTACTTTCTACCTAACAATGTAACTTCAACCTTTTTATTTTGATGATCTTCCTTTCAAAATAACATTATTACAAAACAGTGGGTGGTTTTGCTGCTTTTGTTTGTTGGTTTGGTTTCTTCTTTTATTGTTTGTTTTTTAAGAGAGCTAAATGACTTTAAGACTGAAATTAAACCAACCAGCTTTGGTAGAATGAGGAGACCTGTCTGGTAGAGTTAGATTTGTCTTAAGCTTGACAGCCAAATCAAAATACTGGCAATCTGAATGTGATTTTATGAGCTCATCCTGTTGTAGGAGTAAGTGTTTTTCAGAGATATTCTCTGAAGTTATCTGTTCTTTCTGTCACTAGAAGGAATTGTCTGGGCTGCTTCTTTCGCCCTGCTTTGTGATCCTGCAGATATAACTGTAATTCTTCAAAGTCTGGATCTTGACATTTGAAAAACACATTTTGTATTTGATATTTGCTATATAGTTTCTTTGGTGTAAAACATCCACCATGTGATTTTCTAACCCCGCGCTATTCTTTGCACACTTCTCCCACAAAAAAAAAAAAGACAATTTATTCTCCACAGTAAAGTTTAAAGACTTGTTACCAAGTTGTAGAATATAGACTTCCTAAAGGTATATTTACGAAGGTTATATTACCAAGATGCAGTGAGGTAGGATAGCAATGTACTATAAGGATAATTCATGTGTGCTATACCGTAATTAACATTGGGGAAGTTTTAAATCAGCAGGATTCTTCTGTGGTTTTTGCTTATCATTGCAAATTGTGAAAAAAATTGCATCTTTAATTGTTATTTTCAGTTTTACAGAATTTTTGGATCCATTCCAGAGGGTTATCCAGCCAGAAGAGATCTGGCTGTATAAAAATCCTTTGGTGCAATCAGACAACATACCTACGCGTCTTATGTTTGTAAGTACTAAAGGTTTATTGGTCATTTGATGGCTGTAAGGTACGGACAGTAAGGATAAGCAGTAGCAAATCTTTCAGGTTGATAGGATGTTTCTTTAATTCTAATGACAAATATTTTCCCAAACAAGTGATGTCCAAAATAGCAAAATGTAGGAAATTGTGGGGAGCTTCTAAAAAGCAGCATTACCAGGCGACTGAATTCATGAATATTGATTTTGAAGGTTAATATTTAATTTTGCAGGTTAAGATTTTAAGCTTATGATAATTTAGAGGGATGCTAGAGAAATGATTAGAGAAGCTTTTTGAATTAGGTGGTTGGGTGACCTGACAAAACCTTGCTATGCTCTTATTAGGTTAAGTGTTTAAATTTCAAACTTCTGTTTGTTTTAGGCATGATAGACACTGAGATGTTTGACTATTTCACTCCAAATACTTTTTTTATCCATGTAGACAAAACCTTTGCTTTAGCTTCTGCCAGCAAGTGTACTGAATATATCTTAGAGCTGCTCTGTTGTCACTGTTGTTCTGGCTCTCCCCATCACAGCTTATGGTGACACGCAAGCTGGCTGTCTGATTTTGATGGTTTGTCTGGTTAACAAAATTCATGTTTTTGATAAAACCTTCACTAACAATGATTAACAATCATAGTAATCTGCATATATAACTATACGAGTGCAGTAAGATAGACTGCTACAGAGATGCTAAGAAATTACAGTTATAGTTCAGGCTACTAAAACATGTATGTCAGTGTTTGCAAAAGCCTCATCAGTTGAAGTGGAGATTTTGCAGGAGTGGACATGGTGGATGACGTCAAATCTTAGTACCCTTACATCAAAACATCCTTTTCTGTGTCTTCAGTGAAGTCAGGATTTTACTTTTCAGATTAAGGCTTTTGAATTCAGACTAAATGCAAATCAGCTTTGTAATTTATCTTCATTTTTTTTCTTTTAAAGGATCAGGTTTTCAGTTATGGAAACTTTTTAATTGAGGATCAACTTGAAGGTGTTTCCTTTTTCTGAAGTGCCAATATATCTGTTCTTTCTAAGACAGAGGCTGAAGACCTAGTTTTAAGTTCACCAACATACTGTTTATACTGCATTAAGAAGCTCTATTAAGGATTTTTTCAAATGGATGGCTGAAAACATATGTTCTTCCTGAAATGGAATATAGCTGTCTAAAACAACCAAAAAAACCCCAAGCCCACAAACCCAAACATTAAACTGTTGTATTAGGAAAGACTCTTAAGTTTAATTCTGTCATTTTTCTTTATGCTGAGCACTACCTTGATTGGTTTCTCTCATCTGTGTTTATAACTGAAGAGTTCAAGAGCTAATAGTGAATCACTGTGCAGGGCATTGCTGCAGTGGTGAAACTGTTTTTGCAAGCAGTTGGGACAATCATTGGTCCATCCTCTGTTCTCTAGGCAGAATCACTGGGAAGCACAATACTCGGATATGTGTAATATATTTCCCTGTTAACCAGTTCTCATAGAGCCAGGTTTTGTTATACTTCACTATAGTGGAACTTCCAGGCAGCTCTGGGTCAGTAACGTTTGTAAAGTCTGTGTTCTCTTTCTGGCGGAGACCATTGACATCAAGCAGCTCAGTGAACAGCTTCTAAAATTCATAAACATAGATAATTTCTAAGTGTTATTTCTTTAATTAAGAAGAAAAATCCAAATCTAACATTGATCACAAGCTTTCATTCTGTAAAGAATTTCTTGCCGCTAGTGGGATACTCTGATATCAAAGCGTATGACTGCGGCTTACCAGAAAGCAATCTCTAAGATTTATGAACTGCTGGATTATTTTATATGCTGAGAGATACGAATTTAAGAGAAATGTGAATATTCCAAACCTAGATGTAAGCTAGACAACGCCAACTTCTGCATGGGTAGCACCAAGGACTGGAAAGACCTGAGCCTTGTTCTGCCTCTCTGTCAGTGGATATTCCTTGTCTTAGAAAGTATAATGTACTGTCAACTTCTCTTGAATGCACGGAAGTATGTGGGAGTCCCTATAACTTTAGCATCTCTCTGGCTTGCCAGGATGAATAATGAATGAGAGAGATTTTGTCCATGTTTCACAAAAGCAAGGCAATTTTGGAATATTTCACTGCTGGAAAAGAAAACATTACTGAGATGCATCTGAAGAGACTATTGCTCATTAGATTGGTGCCAAATCTGTTATGGAAATGAATCGTACAGAATCTTTCTGCAAAATAAAGAGAAAGGAGTCCTTAGCAAACCAAACTTCCTTTATATGTGCATTTTGCTGCAGAATAAAAATAAAATAGAATAATATCCACCTTCCAGCTAATGCTTCTGTGTGAGGAACAGCAATGTACTGCAAACATGAATAAATCTTCATCTGTCACAAAAATCCATATGCTTGTGAAATATGAGGAAATCTGCAGTTTTACCAGATTTCTGAGGATTGATTGTAAAATGATTTGGAGCAGGCTACCACTTGAATTCTATTCTTTCTTAATACTTTCTGCTGTTCCTGCTTGTGCAAAAGAGCCTGTCTTCTGGCTATATTTCTACGTGTTCTTCAACAATGGCATGCAGCTATCTTCTTTCTTTCCTAGTGGCAATCCTTACTTTTTAGAATGAAACTGATAATTCAAGGTTTTGCTTTAAGCCTTTATTTTATTTCACTTTTTTTCTCTGAAAGCAGAAATTAAACTGTTGCTGAGGATGGAGAGAATCGAACATTTCTGGAGCAGTACCATGAGACTAGCATCCTAACTTAAGTAAATCTCACTCATACTATAGACAGAAGGGAGTTTTAAGTGGAAATGGTGCGTCTTTGTTGCAGAAAACCTGGTGCCTGCCTTTCTAGATGTAAAAAAGAGGAGCAGACTCCAGATTGTGGTTTAATCTGCATGGCTCACTGAGTTAGACATATTTTGCAGATGCAGGTGAGGGGAATCTGGTCCATGATGCACTACCAAAATAACAAATATGGTACATTTTCATGCTGTTGCCTACTCAGATATTCTAAAAGCATAAAATGAGGACTGGGATTAATTTCTGTTATAAAAAGAAGAGAGTTGTGTGTGTTTTGTCATAACCTGCCTGTCCTGTCTAGCTCTTATTTCAGTGGGATTGTTTAAGAAATAAGCACTGTTCAGCCTCGGTAGAGTAGCATAAACTTACTTAAGCCCTCGCACCCCTTGTGCCACGTACAGCTTAATTTTCACCTTGTTTAAAACCCCAGTCATTTCCACTTCAAGAGAATAAATGCTTTTGAAAAAGCTTGATTTGTTTTTGAAGAAATGTGTTTATGAAGAGGTTTGTATATTCCAGAAAGGAATTGGTTAACTTAGACCAGAACCAACAAGAAGCATAACTGGATTACAAGTTGCTTTTTACTTCTGAAAGTCTGAGACAGAAGGGATGATGGAAGGACCAGTTGGGAACAAAATCATAGTTTTCATGGCAGGCTACTAATGAAAAACTCCCTTGTATTGTGCTTGGTAGGAACCGATTTATCTTTCTGGAGAAAGACAATAAATCCCTACTCTGGGAGGACAGACTGCAGTATACAGGCACTGAATGAAGTAGGATGCTTTTTGGATTCCTGTTGCATTTTCAGTGCATTTTGAACATATTCATTGCCCTGTACTTGCAAAAAAAAGTCCTTCTGTGGCAGGAGTTGGAACTTGATGAGCTTTGAGATGCCTTCCAATCCAGACTGTTCTGTGATTCTATGATCCCACTTTGCTTAAGGTCAGGAGTTTGATAAAGATCATTCAGCTTTCCAGTGTAAAGGGAGCTAACTGAAACTAATTATTAATGACTTGGACTGGAAAGGAACTGATGCTCTCACACATGGTATTTGTTATATTTTACAGGCAATTTCATTCCTTACACCACTAGCAGTCATTTTTGTGGTCAAAATAATCCGGCGAACAGACAGGACTGAAATCAAAGAGGCTTTCTTAGGTAATGTATGTCATTCTTCAAGATGAAAAACATGTGATAGCTCTCAGAGATTGATTCCAATTGTAGTCTAAACCCTGAAGAAAACCTGTCTCTGTTACAGTCCATTACCATTGGTTTCAGTGCAGATGTAGTTGCAAACCATCTCAGAAAAGCCTTTTTTTAAATGCAGATTTCTAAGTGTACAAATTCTGTGCCTTCATTCCACAATCGAGCTAGCAAGAGCCAGAATTCAATTAGCAAAGACAAGACCACCTGAGAGACTGTTCAGATATATATTTTTCTGTTACAACCAATGTATTACCTCTTATTTATAATTGTAGCTATTCTAAATTAATGGTATGACTGGAAAGTCCTGAGAGATTCAGCTGCTTAGTGTAGGAAATTGCTCCTCTCATTGTTTTCTCTGATCTCCTGGAATTTACTGTTCCCCATTGCAAAGTCCGTGCTCATGGCTCAATTTTTGTAATCACAAGTTGGTGTTTCATTTTAAACTGCCAGTGTTGTTAGATGTGCACTTAATGCTGGGCTATGAACTGCTATGGCTGTGTTATGGGTGAGCTCTAGTTATAGTTGTAGACAGCAACTTTGAGCGGAGGAGCAGGTATACAATGGGGATGGTAAATCTTAAACTGTTCCAGCTAATTCTGGCTGCTTCTATCTCTTGAATTCTTTCAGTGATACATGCCCAGATCCTGTTTATATAGATATTGCCAGAGACCAAAATTGACTGAAGAACTTTCACTGGCAGAGCATACTTGAAGGCACTAAGAACTGTAAATGTTTTTGTTGGCAGTGTGTTTGAAATGTGCCTATTTCCGAAAATCTCCTTTACTGGCTAATTTAAACTTTAATTTATTGGCCCTTAGGTTGTGAGGTCAAACAACACTGAGCCTTGCCTTAGCTAGAAAGGATGTAAATACCTTTGGAATTTTCTTAGACAAGACTGGGTTCCCATTGCTTGTTCTTTCTCCAGTTGCTCTAACACCAGTGTGAAAAGACCGAGTTTTGTTTTGGCTGCTACCAGTCATTTGTAGTAAGTTCTGAAATGCTTTGTAGTGATATTTTACTGAGAAGTCCATTCAAGTAGAAACAACTGTGACTCATTAAATGCATACAGTCACAGTTCTGAGATTAACTCTCTGGGTTTTAAGAAGGAAAGGAGTTTCTCCATCACATATTCTCACCTTCTTGTTCTAAAAATACATTAATTTTTTCTGCTGTTCCTGCCATCTGTTACTATTCCCTCTAGAATGTCCAGGAGAAAAATTGCCAGTTTCCCAAGTATTCTCCTTGCTGTCCAGACTTTAAGGAAACCACATCCTTGATGTTCTGTTTTGCAGGGTATCCCTGTTCAGTATTCTACTGTCTGTACATGTGGAACTTCTTGTGGCTTATTTATGTTTAAGTATACTGTACATTAATATGATTCAGTATGTTAACGTGTCTGGTGATGTGAAGCTGATTGCGAAGATTCAGTAACTGTGGTGGAGCTTTGCTGATTTGCTGAGATCTGGCACATAGTGTTCATAATGTTGGAAGTCCCCAAAAGGTGAATTTCTTTAGGCATCATACATAGAATAAATCAAAAGGTAAAATGATGTGAAAATGCTTTGTTCCTCATGTAGCCATTAATATAAAGAAGGTGATTCAGTACATCTAGGGTAAGGAGTAGTTAGCTGCCTACTGTAGGTGTCCTTAATCCTTCCACTGGAAGTAGGTAGATCACTCTACTGACTTGATTATATGACTTTTGATGGGCAGTATGAATCTTTCCTAAAGGGAACAAAGTGAAAGCAGTTGCAATTTGTTTATCAGCTTACATTCACACTGTTATCAGATGCTTGGATTGCATTATAAGGAATATGCAGCAGTGGAAGCATGGTTCAGTCAGGTAGGCAACAAACAGTCAAGACGAAACACAATGGAAAGATTAAACTTTGCTGCATGTCTCAGAAAGCAGATATCTACGTCTCCCATTTTTTAATGTTGCTAGACATATGCATTTGACTCTGTGGAAAATGTCAATTCACCATGCAGCCACCATAAATATCAGAGAGAAAACAACTGAGAGGAAGAAGAGAGCATGGGATTGATTGGTCACTTTGAACATAGGTGTTGAAAGTGGAAGACTTCTTTGAACAGTATCAGTGTCTGTGACTTGTTCTTTTATTTCTGCTGGCTGCTATTGCTATAGTCAGAGAAAACCCTTGTTTTTGCTTTGATGGAGGGCCTCCTTTTTTTAACTTGAAGAAAAATAGGTCCTATAAGGCACATTTTTATGATCTATAATATCCTCTGGCACAGATTTTATGGACACAGGATGAATGCTGCTGAAGTGTAGCATCTGAGACAGCAGTCCAATGAGAAAATAGCTCATGTAGCTGTCATTGTATTCCTGTAACTGTTCAGTTGGAAATCAGAGATTTGCCTCATAGGGTTTTTTTGATAGGAAATAAAAATCAGTGGCTCTTGTGTTGTAACAGGGAGCTAAGGTGTGGACTGCAACATTAAATCTCAGTTTTAATCTAAAAGGAGTGTATGCATTGGACTCAAGTGCCACCAAAATCAAGGAAGAGAGCTTCACAGGCTCTAGATGAGGTTCTTCAGAAAGTCTAGGGACTCAGCACAGAAGTACAAATACAAAGGATGATTCAGTCATACCTAGTATGACAGTTCCTGTTTATTACTTCAATTTTATTAGGACAATTGGTTAATATTGGGAGCAAATATGAGGGGAAAATGTCAAGGGTTTTAGTCAAAACATCCACATCCTTTCAAAAGTAAAGATGAAAAAAATAATCCAATTCTAGTTTTAGCCAAAAGGCAATCCTTTAGCTTGAAAGTGGACTGTTTAATTGTTGTACATATACATATATACATCCATAAACACATGTGCATATATATGTATACACTTAAGTGTATATCTTATATATAGGTCTATATAGGAACTCTTCTGGACCCAAAGAACATAAGATTTTAACCTAGTAAATTGCAAAACTGATAAACACAGTACTTGATTCTCTAATAATTGTTTCCAGATGTTGATTTATGCCTGTGCAGACGGCATGATAGAATACTGGCTTTGTAGAATGAAATAAGATTTCTCAAGAGTAAAAGCAGCACAAAATCATGATTATTAGAATGTTCTGGGGTCTGCCCTTAGTCTGGGTAATAAGAAAAACAGTAGGCTGCAAAGATCATTCAGTTTTCAGTCCAGTAAAGGTTAAGAGTCTGTAAATGAAATGCTGTAATGCTACGATTTATTGCCTGGTATTTAGGTTATTATTGTTCTGTTTGTTCATTCTGTTTTATAGCTGTTTCCTTGGCTCTAGCTCTGAATGGCGTCTGCACAAATACTATTAAATTAATAGTGGGAAGGTAAGTTTTGTCATGTTATAAATAGTAGCTTTAACTGTTAAGAGAAGCGAAGGCAGATTGACAAATACAATACGTGTTAATAAAAAGATAGGTACTGCTCTGAATTAGAACAGGCTCTTGTGAAGCTGTCCTTTTCCTGGTGCAAATGTTGTACAACTTCATTACGTGACAGCCAACTGTGGCAGGAGTCTATGCCTTTGTGTTTTGTTATTTGTTTGACCAGCTGACAGATCCAGACAAATGAGGAGTTTGAAAGGAAAGGTGTGAGGTGGAATCAGTTCATTAAATTGGCAACACAGCATGTGGGAGTTCAAATGCCTGTACCACTAGTCTGATTAAAGAGGAATCATTTGAATCCCTGTATAACCCAGTACATGCATTTTGTGTGAAGCATATTACTGAATGTAGTATTTCCAGGTAACATCAAGAATCATGGCAGATAAAACCTTGGAGCTAAGCTGTAAGTGGACTTTAAGTAGGACATTTATTTAGGAAAGCATAAATTTGAACAGAGGGCTCAAAAAAATGTTAGCAAAAAAACTCTCTGGAAAATATATTTTTTAGGTACTATTTGTCTCTTTATCAGAATTTTGAATAATTTCATCTGAAAAATAAATATTTGACTTTAATACACTATTTAATAGAGAAATGCTGCAATTTTTGTTCACCTTTCTTGCACTGAGGAAGCAGTATTTGTGCTTCGTTTCTGATGAACCCTCTCTGCTATAGTACTAATGCCCTGACAATAATGGTACTTGGCACTTTTCTTTTGAAAGTGCTTTTGAAATACAATTAGGAATGTCTGCACCATCTTCTTCAGGCAGACATGAGCTCATTTTGCCTGCACTTCAAGCCAACTAGTTGCTCTGTCAGCTTGTCTCTGGTCATTTGCCGTGCTTCTCTGTGTGGTTTATTAGCTCAGGATCAGTATGACAGTATGATTTTCAGATCCCACTTGCATGCTGCACTGGAAGCTTCCCTGAGAGAGCCTGACTGCAAAGAAAGTGACTTTGAATTGAGGGACTTGACTTAGGGTGGACTCGGTCATCTTAAGGGTCTTTTGCAGCCTAAAAGATTGTACAGGTTTTTGTTGCTGTGTTAAGGGAGGGAATGAACTCTGTATGTAATAAGCACTAAATGTAATAATCACTTTGAGGTTTATTTGTTACTACAGCTTTTATATTTTTAATATCCATGGTGTTTTTTGTAGACCGCGTCCCGATTTCTTTTACCGCTGCTTTCCAGATGGAGTAATGAACTCTGAAATGCACTGCACAGGTGATCCAGATCTGGTGTCTGAAGGCAGAAAAAGCTTTCCGAGTATCCACTCTTCCTGTAAGTTCATTTAAATGCAGTGCCTCTTTTGTAAAAAGCTGTCCTATCTGTGTTTTGGAATTGCTCTTTTTTGTGAGATCATGAACCTGGGTTTTGCTGGAGGGGCTTGGACTTCTCTCCTAGGTCACCACTCCCAGAAATAAAGTTGTGAGCCTGTTCCTTGTCTTGAGAACCACTTGACATCACCAAGAGCCGCAGCAGGAGTGAGTGAAGCACTATTCAAGGTTAAAGAAAACAGTGTGTTTCTGAGGGGTGACTGTTCCCTGATACAGACCTCTGTATGCAACCTTTGTCTATATAGTAATTATTTATTTTGTTATATTCCATTGAAGTATGAAATGTGACAAGTCATGTCTAACCTGCACAGTTTAAACAAGAATTAGTTAATATCTTTCAATTAGTACTACATCTTTTAAGCCAAATTTCCAATCACAAAGGCAGTTCAACTGCTTTCATCATTAAGGATTCTTCATAGGTTTTATGCTTGAAGGTGGAAGGGATAGGAAGGAATGCATAGAGATCATGTTGCATTGTTTTCATGCTGTCCATCTTAATGATCTAGATACAAAGTGAGGTTCAAGAAGTCACTATAGTACTAGAAGCTATGGCAATATGCCAGTAGAGGGGTGGTTCTTTGATTCTTTGTTTTCTTTCTCTTCTGACAGTATCCACTGCTGGTTGTGGCTAAAAAAGGGATCCTTCTCTGTGATTATGAGGGGTTCTTATACTTCCAGGTTCAGATGATTACCGCCACTGGGCTGCTTTGCCTGGGCACAGGCAGGGGTAGATGGTAGCTCTGTTCCTAGTGCAAGCAAGCAGAGGACAATAGGTGGAATGTCCTGACTTTTCTTTCAGCATAGAGGTAGCATGTAGTGGGGGAACAAGTCTATCAATAGTATTTTATTTAGAGGAGCAAATAGGCAGGAAAGAGAAGTTAATTTGAATCATAGAATGGTTTGGGTTGGAAAAGACTTTAAGATCACCTAGTTCCAACCCCCTGCTGTGGGCAGGGACACCTCACACTAGACCATGTTGCCCAAGGCTCTGCCCAACCTGGCCTTGAACACCACCAGGGATGGAGCATTTACCACTTCTTTGGGCAACCTGTGCCAGTGCCTCAGCACCCTCACAGTAAAGAACTTCTTCCTTATGTCTAATCTAAACTTCCCGTGCTTTAGTTTAAACGCATCACCGCTTGTCCTATTGCTAAAGTCCCTGATGAAGAGTCCCTCTCCAGCACCCTTATAGGCCCCCTTCAGATACTGGAAGCTGCTCTGAGGTCTTCATGCAGCTTCTCTTCTGCAGGCTGAACAGCCCCATCTTTCTCAGTCTGTCTTCATATAAGAGGTGCTTCAGCTTCCTCTGGACTTGCTGCAACAGCTCCATTTCCTCCTTATGTTGAGGACACCAGAACTGCACACATTATTCCATGTTTTGAGTTTCTGGTTTCTTATCTCTCCTAGGACAACACAATCACTTCCATTCTGTTTGGCTTTGAGGTGGTACTTAGGTCTGATGGTTTGATCAGATACTCCTAGCTTATGCTGTATCCTGACAGATATTTAGGTGGCTTTATGAAAGCTCATATATCTAATTTAATTAGTTGTGTTAACTCAAACATTTACAAAGATTTCTTTCTCTGTCTTGAGGAGCTGACTTCTAGAGTGTTTTATGCCAAGTGTCTAATAAAACTTGTTTTCAGCTGTAAAATAACTTGATTACTGTCAGCTTTTTGGATTTTTTTTTGGCCAGTACTGTTTATTGCTTTTTGCTGTTCTGAGAACTGCTAATTAAGCATCACTAAGTCATATCTACAGAATTTGTTATTCTGATCTCTTTTTAAAGAGCTTCAGATTGTCTAATTGCACAGAATTATATATTGCAAACAAGTTGTGTAATGAGATGAATGAAATTCTGAGCTGATCTTGCACCCTTTCTCTTGTTTGAGTCCCAGAAACAGATAATGCAGTAGTAGATGTTTATAGATATGTTATAAGCTTTATAATTCTTAACAATAAATCAACTTAGCTGCCTCAGATTTTGTTTATAAGCTTCAATTACAGTAAAGAAACAATAGCAGTATATATCATATGCCATTTAGAAGAAATGGTATTTACTGCTATTTATAGTCTGTCTTCAGATCCGGTTGTCACATATAATTGCAATCCTGTTGGTTCAGTATTTCATCAGCATAATAACAACAAAGGCTTAAAATAAGTGCATGTCTACACTGATGTACTAGAATTTATAGATTAGCCCTCAGCAGGTGCTATAGTTCACCACTTTACTAAAATACTGCAGTTTACTTGGAGGCTGCAAAGTGTGAGCTGCAGAACATACCCAATGTCCTTTTGCACAGACTAGAAACACAGTATGTTGTAGCATGGACTACTTATCCCTGGCACACATACTAGTTCCCTTACCAGGACTGCTTGTCACACAGTGAAGTGCTTTGTCCCCGTTCCAGTTGGGCAGCCGCAGATTGTGTAGTGGGATTTTACTTTGAACTGGGTTTGGTTTTATAAGCTCTGAATTACATTACTGCAGCTCACTCAAAATTCAGTTGGAGCAGAATGATGACCCAGTGTATTTCGATCAAAATTATATGAGAACAGCTTTCTCCATCACTGACTAGTATAATATTAGCATGTGGCTGAGTTGATTATATTTCCCACTACAAAGCCTTTTATTACAATGTGGTAAGAATGAAAAGATACTATATATGCAGTAATTTTTATCAGTTGGTAAGTGTATGCTGAAGTGAGGCAATTCTGCAGCTGCTTGAAGTACTTCGCTTTTTGAAGCCTGATCTCATAATGTCTAAGTCTCTGACAAGACTGTGTGTTTTGAAGCCTTAAAATCCATATGTATCTTAGTCTCATAATGGAGAAAGAAACCATTTTAATTTGATAATCTTAAAAGAATAACCTCTGTTCCTGCTGTGTAGCAAAATAATTTAGATAACCAGGACTGAGAGCATTATTTTACCAAGAATAGTTTATAGTAGTGATAATAAATTTAGTTTCTTGCTGTTACTTCGTCCCTTACTAGACTGAAGAGTGAAAAGCATAAAGTGAGATGAGAAAGACAACACTATACTACCTTCTTGGACCTGTAAAGCAATAAGAATGTTGAGAGCATAATAATTCACAGTTGGAAATTCTGCTATAATTCTACATTTTCAGTATTTTGGTTTGTGTAATACCTGAACTTCACCTCTTCTATCTCCCACTCCCCACGGAAAATCATTCTCTTACCTCAGTTTTAAACAGCTCTCCTTCCTGCTGCCTTAACATGGAGGTAACTGTAAACTTTCCTTGCATAAACTCAGTCCAAGATTTTTTCCTTGGCTTCTTTCTCCCTTCCTGCAGCATAAGATTGCTCCTAGGTAAAAATGAAGGAATTCCGTTCTTAGTTTTCTCTCAGCCTTTCTCTGTTTGTTTTGGAATTCATGAAGCAGCACCTAAAAAAGGTGGGTTTATTGTTACTGTTTGTGTTTTGTTGGGGTTTTTTTTAGCTATTTTCATGGCTGCAGAAGCATCAGTGAGGAGGACAGAAGTTGCCATAAACTACAGTAAGTGTCTTTGGAATGATAGCTACAAGTAGCCTACTACAGTTTGGTGTTTTCTACTTCACTTGAACCCATGAAGAAAATAAATCACACGTAAAAGCTGCCAGGCAGCTCATAAAGAGAGGTTAGAAGCTTCAGTCAAGAGCTGTTTTCATCTTCAAAAGAGTTTTTTCTTAGAGCATTCCTTGGACAGGCTGTCAATCAAAGGCTTTGTTATACCAGGATCTAGAATCTCATCTGTGAAAAATGAGGCCTTTAACACAAAAGTCTGTGGTGCTGTGAATGTTGTGCTGTAAGAATGTAGTGCAGGGATGTATAACAAGAGTGGCAGTACTGACACCTCAGATGGCCTGACCTGGCCTTAAGTACTCAGTAAAAATGTTGTGAAATACGTGTCTTCCACGTTGAGAGTCAGCTTGTACCCTGAAGGAGAGTGTGTTCTCCTTATTAAAGCACAGATGATTTTCTTGGCTTAAATTACCATGTCTTTCATCTCTCTGTGCCAAGGAGTGTGTGTAATACAAATAAGAGAAATGTATCGAGCACAAACTGTTTTGTAAAGTCAAAGAGTGACTTGCAGGTAGATGCAAACTATGGTTGTCTGAAACAAATGAGACATTTTGTACCTAATGAGACCAGGAGATTGACCCACACGAACGCAGCATCGTTGTTACTACCTTTTCTGAACAAGGAGCAGGACTCTCCCTGCAGAGGCTGCTGAAAATGCCTCATTCAAGGCTGCTGCCTCCCAGCTCTGTCTTTTGCTGTCCTTTTCTGGAAAGACTGTTGAAGTCGGGAGTCTCCTCTTGGTAACTTTTTGCAACAGCAACTTGAATTCAGAATCTACACAAGCACAACCCAAAGTTCAATGACCCCATTGAAATTCACACAGTAGTGCGCGTTCTGCTGGATCAAAGAAGTCCCCTGGACCTTCTGGATTGTTTGGAGCATTTTTGGGCCTCTTTTCCAGTTGAACTGCCCCAGTATATCTTACTTGAGGGAACCAGCATTTTGGGGGTAGGGAGCCAAGACTTGCGCCTTGGTCCAGTAGCTCGGAGGTGTTCTGGAATGTCACATTTACATGTAGCTATTCTAAATAAACCACTTCCAAAATGTAGGTCTATTTTTTTAATTTTATTTTATTTTCTAGTATTTCAATGCTAATGGTATTTCAATATATGGTTATATAATCCATTGGCAATTTTATGCTGTTTAAAGCTACTACCTTTGAAGATACCTTGCAGGTTCTCTATGTCCATACCTAATTGAAAGAATGATGTTTATGAAGATCATAAATGCAGCATTTCTTCCTCTTGCTTCTGTCCTTCCCATGTGTCTTCTGTAGAGAGCCTTCAGGCAGCCTACCTTGGACATACCACACAGCATCCTAACCTCTCAAGATATGTGGAGTAAGGACATACACTCCCCA